AAACCAGCCCTACTCACATCTTCACAGAGGGGGAGCACATCCCTTGGTTTACATAGCATCAGACAGACCTTCCTGCTGGTGCTCTGGGTGTCTGCAGGGATTTCCTGATCTAACCTTAAACACAAAACTGTTACGAAGACTTTGTGAAAACTGCCAGAATAACACCCTCCCAAAGAACCTTTGATTGCTGCCCCAAACACTCTCTGGGGTATAAATTTATTGATACCCCACCCATCTGGGTAGGTCTCTCCAGCCACTCTGGGCGGCTCCCAACAAAATATAAAAAAATACGATCAAACATCAAACATTAAAAACTTCCCTAAACAGGGCTGCCTTCAGATGTCTTCTAAAAGTCAGATACAGTGGTACCTCGGGTTAAGAACTTAATTCGTTCTGGAGGTCCATTCTTAACCTGAAAGTGTTCTTAAACTGAGGTACCACTTTAGCTAATGGGGCCTCCCGCTGCTGCTGCGCCATGTGATTTCTGTTCTCATCCTGAAGCAAAGTTCTTAACCTGAGGTACTATTTCTGGGTTAGCGGAGTCTGTAACCTGAAGCGTCTGTAACCCAAGGTACCACTGTAGTTGTTTACTGTATTTCTTTGACATCTGATGGGTGGGTGTTCCACAGGGTGGGCACCACTACCAAGAAGGCCCTCTGCCTGGAGTGAAAAAGACAGGGAAGGTTTCACCTTGTGAATTTCGGCCTGTTGTGCAACTCCATGCTCTATATGTATATCCGTTTCTCTCTCCTGTAGCCTCCCACTCATAAAATTATAGAGTTGGGAGGGATCCCAAGGGTCATCTAGTCCAACCCCCTGCAATGCAGGAATCTGAGCTAAAGCATCCATGACAGATTGCCATCCAGCCACTGCTTAAAAACCTCCAAGGAAGGACAGTCCACAACCTCCACTGTCGGACAGCTCTTACCGTCAGAAAGTTCTTCCTGATTTTTACCTGGAATCTCCTTTCTTGTAACTTGAAGCCATTGGTTCGGATCCTACCCTCCAGAGCAGGAGAAAACAAACTTCCTCCATCTTCCATGTGACAAGGCCTTGAGATATTTGAAGATGGCTATCACATCATATCATATCATATCATATCATATCATATCGGTAGCAGGCAACAAGTTAGGAATTAGTTCTAAATCCGGTGTTCCTATATCCTATTTTAAAAGAACCCAATAAAGTATTTTTCAGCTTTGGGGGTGGCGGGGATGTTATATCATGTTATTTTTCAATTTTCGATTGCGATTCGCTTCCAAAATGTTTCTGTATATTGACATAATCAAAATATGTGCATGAATCTGCATCAGATGAATTCTGTCTCTTGACAGCTATCAGCAGCATTAGGATAAATAGCATTAAAAGTTTTTGTAAGTTAACACTAATTAGTCTTGTTGGAACATTTTAAAAATAACCACGACCATTCCTTCTCTAATATAAGTGAATTAAGATCTGTGTCCTATATATTTTTAAGAGAGGAATGAGAAGAGGATCTTCATAAATTAACAGCAATATTGTTTATAAAGCTACATATAGAATGAGTTGTAATTAATATTTCAGAAATTTGGTTTTGCGTGTAAACAAGACTATTTCACTGTTAGTTGTATAATGATATGCCTTACCTGGAACTAATGGAATCTGGGTGATCTAAACCTTGCGATCTTAGTTAATAACTACCCATGTAAAAGTATATGTTGGTCCACCACCTGCTTTTATTTCCAAATGGAAAAGTCCCCAGAATACGGTAAATTAGTCACCACTTTTTCATTATCAGATACTGATATGATGTGAAGGGCTGTTTTTGGGCTGTTTGAGTTTAAATTTAGCTTTGTCTGGGAAGCTGTATTGTAAAATAAGTGAAGTAACAGTGAAGAAGACAGTGCCTCTGGGTGTATGCAGGGTGCCTTTTTCTTGCCACTGGGTATCCTTCACTAATCCCCAAACATTTTAAGCAGGGGTGAAGGGAAGCTTCGCTTGGGATCCCGATTTCAGTGCCATGACCGAAACTTGGAACATATGAAGTAATAAAGAACAGCACAATTCTGAGCATGTGCCGAGTAATGCAAGTGGCCACCACTCCAGAATGAAGAAAACTGAGCTTTTTTAATACAGTGGTACCTCGGGTTACATACGCTTCAGGTTACAGACTCCGCTAACCCAGAAATATTACCTCGGGTTAAGAACTTTACCTCCGGATGAGAACAGAAATCACACGGCGGCGGCACAGCGGTAGCGGGAGGCCCCATTAGCTAAAGTGGTGCTTCAGGTTAAGAACAGTTTCAGGTTAAGAACGGACCTCCGGAATGAATTAAGTACTTAACCTGAGGTACCACTGTATTGTGACATTTGCAAATGTAAAGCTTCAGTTCTGAGTTTATTTCCTTGGAGGTTAATTCTGTTAACATCGGAGGATTTCCCTCAGCCCTCCCCAATAAGATTGAATTGATAACGGATTTGAGGAGTTGGTTGTAAGAAATCTCAAATCATATGCCCTAAGTATGATCTGCTTGCTTTAGTCTGAACAAGAACAAAAAAATGAGACAATGTAGTTCTTCAACTCCCCGGCTAGAGTTAGAAATACACATAGACATGGCAAAAATGCCAGTGTTCAGTTATGGAGTGGGATAATATGAGGAGCAGGGATATGACTTTATCTTTGCAATTTGACATTGAGGCATATCAAAGTGAAATGCTGGACAATTATGTTTAAGCATCAGAATGTAGAGGACAATGTTTAAACTTTGATAATTCCTCCCAACCCCTCAATGCACCCCGGCCCAGTCCCTTAAATTCAGTTCTATAATTGGTAATACTAAAAACCATCAAAGTAGTATTGCGTTGTATTCAGATTGGACTCGTTGAAGTTCATGGACATGACAAACTTGGGTTCATTGATTTCATTGGGTCTACTCAGAGTTAACTTAATTGGGTGCAACTGAGAATGTTTACAGGCAAATTCAAATTAGGAAGTACCTACAGCCACTTTAATTGTTTACATTCTGCTGAGAGAGAGAGAGAAAGAAAGAGAAAAAGATCCCCTAAATGGATTGATTTAAATAGATCTCTTTCATATTAAAGCAGTGAACTCTTTCTAAAGGGGCACTTGTCAATGAATTTTAAGATCAGTATCTCAAACCCAGGTGTCAATATAATCGCATTTATGTTTAAATCATTCCTGGTAATGTTGTATGAGGCCTATTCTGCTCTCTTCCCCCCCTGTTAATTAATCAAGATGGTAAATCTTAATTTCTAGACCCATTATTTAAAGCAGAAGTGGGGAGCCTGTGACCCTGCAGATGTTGGTAGACTACAACACCCATGATCCTTACAATTGCTAGCAATGGCTTTAAAGCAAGCCACCGTCTCTCAACCTAACCTACTTCGCAGGGTTGGTTGGAGGATAAAGCTGGGGAAAAGAACTTTGTCGGAGGAAATGAGGTTATTATGAAAGTCTTAAATCAAGGCTTACTAGTTAGCTCAGTTGGTTGCAGTGTGGTGCTGATAATGCCAAGGTTTTGATCCCTGTATGGGTGCACATTCCTACATGACAGGATTTGGATTCCACAAAGTCCCTTCCAACCCTACGATTCTATTATTCTGTACAGACAGGGAAACCTTTGGTCTTCCAGATGTTGATGGACTCCAACTCCCATGCTTTACAAGCACAGACAATGGTCAGGGATGATGAGAGCTGCAATCCAATAAAATCTGGAGGGCCAAAGATGTACTTTAATTAATTAATTAATAAGCAGTGACTGGGATGTACCAAAAACAAAACCCTCTTAATATTTTATGTTTTATCTTATTACATTTATACCACTCCTTTCAGCTGTTCACACAGACGGCTCTCTTCACATGGTCAGGAACCCTGCTTTTCAGGGTTCACACTCAGGTGGAGGCAGCTCCCTGTGCACACAGATATATATGTGAGCCCCCCTTTTTTCTGGAAATCTTATAATCAACCTGCAGATTTGATTGTGCATTACCCACGCTGGAAGAATGGCAGACGCAGTTGATGGACTACATGGAACTGGCTGAAATGACTGGCAGAATCCGTGATTTGGGAGAAGAAATAATGGAGGAGGACTGGGAAAAATTTAAGGACTATCTGCAAAAACATTATAAGTTGTATGAATGTTAAGAATGTGTACGATTAGGAAACGTTTGCTTCAGCAACTTGAATAGGTGAACTGGAAATTAAGTTATAAGAAAGATGAGGTAGACAACATGAAGTAACCATACTATGTTTATTTACAGGGTACAAATAATTGAGATACAGTATTTTAAATTTGGAAACATAGTATTTGAAAGATACAGTAAGACATGAAATAAGGTAACAAATTGCTGATGTTACAATTGCAAAGAACACAGAATTTGGAAGATGTGGGGAAGTCCGATTGGAATTGTTAAAGTATTTTGGAAAGTTGGAATTTATGTATACTTTCTTTTTCTTACTTTTACTTTCTACTTTTTATTCTGTAAATTTCTGAATATCTGAAAGAAAACTTAATAAAATATTATAAAAAAAAAAACAAACAGATTTGATTGTGCATGCTCAACCTCTGAAGTGGGAACTAGGAGTTCATACAACACCTGAACCTGAAAATAGAATATAAGCATTGCCCTGACACCACAGAGTTTTACTCAGGCAGTTGGTTTTAATTCATTTTTTAAAATATATTTTTTATTGTTTCAGAAGAAACCCCCCCCCAAAAAAACCCAGAATAGTTATTTATATTTGAATTTATATTTGAATTCCGTCCAAAATAGCAAACTAGGCAAAAAAAACAAGAATACAGAACTGGCATGTTGGAATAATAATAATAATAATAATAATAATAATAATAATAATAATAATAATAATAATAATAGGGAGATCACTTTGGAAGGACCTGTCTTCTTAATTCATTGGAGCGAAGCTTGCAGCATTGAAGGGGAAGGAGCAGCGGAGGTGGGCGTGTCTTGGAAACTCCGCTCAGCCAATGGAAGCGAAGCCGACACGAGAGCTCGAACGCTGTTCTTTTAATAGGAGGCAGGTCGAGAGAGCAGTTTTCGGAGGCGGCGAGGATGGGCTGGGCAGAGTAGCAAAGAAGAGAATAAAGTAGAAAGGGGGGGGAAATAACCCCCCTCTTGAGATCCTTAGGAAAGAAAGTAGAGAAGAAACCCGGAGTTAAGCAGCTGTGATCTTGACCCATCAGCTGCCGCATCCGGATCTTGCGAATATATAAACAACAACCCCAAACTTCTGGCGATGTTTTGCGATGCAGGAGAAAGCCCGGCTGCTAAAGAAGGATGAGGAGCGAAATTGAGCAGCCTCGTTCTGCCAAGTAAGGAAACGGACCAGATTGCTGTTGATAAAACGGACTAGGCTGGTCTCGGGTAGGGGACACCACTGGGTGTCCCCTTTCCCAGCCACGATGAGCCTTTGAGGGTTTCGAGCCAACCCTCGGGACTTTCTCCCCCTTCCCTACTACTTACCTACCTTCCTCCTCCTCCTCAGCCCTCCTCCTCCTTTTTTCCTCTGCTGCCAACTCCCTCCCGCTCCCCCCCCCACCCCACCCCGCCAGCCTTTCTTCAATGGGCGCTTTGGATTCCCTCGCCGGAGGAAGCGCCAACCCGACCGCCGCTGCCCTCACTATGCTGAACGGGGCAGAGAGCCAAAGTTTCGCCAAGGAGCCGCCAGACCTCCAGGGAGCGGCGACCAAAGACCCCGCCGAGCTGAAGATCGGCGTCCCCCAGGAGCGCTTCTACTACCCGGAGCCCCACATGCAAGAAGGCGGCTGCAACTTAGGGCTGACCTACGGCGCACAGATGGTGCAGGGAGGAGGAGGCGGCTTTGGGGTGAGCAGCCCGGCCCCATCGGGCAGGTTTCTAGGGCCGGCCGTGAACAACTGCTCCTCTTACAGACCTCCGCCTCCTCCTCCTCCCCCGGTTCCTGCTCCTTCTTCGGCTGCCCCTGCGGGGAATCCCGGCTTCTCGGTGTCCGCGGCCGAGATCTACCCAAGCGCCGGGGACCTGTATCCCAGCGCGCCCGGGGGAGAAGGCTGCTACTCGGCCGCCGTCCAGCACATGTTCCCGCGCGGGCCTCTCTACCAAGTGCCGGGCTACCAAGTCTCCGGGAAGATCCAGGTCGTGCTCAACAACTATCCTCTCTGGGCCAAGTTCCACAAGCACCAGACGGAAATGATCATCACGAAACAGGGCAGGTGAGCAGCAACGCGCGATCGGCCCGGAGGGCGCACGAGGTGGCGCGGGGTGGGCTGGCCGGCGGGAAGCGGGAGGCAGGGATTTCAGTGGAGAGAAAAGAGAAGGAATGTGCGGATCTGGAGGATCGCAGCGCGAAGGAAGCGGGATCCCAATGGAAGGAGAGGTGGGAAGCACCGAGGGATCCCGCTGCGCACCAAGAACTTCTGGAGCGCGCCGGGAAGAGGATCTTGGGGAGGTTGGCAAGGGTGGGCCCGGCAGGGAATATTCTCGGGGGGGGGCAGGCGCGTAATTGGGGCAAATATGTCCGCTGTTGGCTTTTGGACTGCGCCGCGGAGGACATAAACAACCCTAAAGTCTTGCCAGGGAGGGAGGGAGAAGCGCCCAAGGGCGCGCGGCTGAAGCAGGTACGCTCGAGGAACGGCTAGCAGCGCGCATTGTTTTGCTTATACAGTATTTCTTACCTTTATACTCAAGCCGCATAAGAAGAGTTCTCTGGGTGGCTCACAAAAGCGCGCGCACACACGAAACTACAGTATAAAGCAGCAGTGGAACAAATTAATCGAAAACCAAAAGCCGGTTAAAGCGCAGTTCACCTGTTCCTTAAATTTGCCAGGTTCCCCAAGCATCAGTGCTACAATCCCCAGCACCCTTAATGAACTACAGTTCCCAGGATTCTTTGTGTGTGTGGAGGGGTGTACCTTAAATGTATAAACACCCGCTGACTGTCACAGGCCCCGCTCTGGAATGCCTTATTCCTAACGCGCGATTGGGAAACCCGTGTTTTTAGTGGTGTGACGGGAAGCCCCTGGCCCTCGGCCTTCTCTCCCGCTCACGTTCACATGGCTGAGGGGCAGCATGGAGAATGCGAGTCGTGGGTGTGAAGGCGGTGAAGTGAAAATGAGCTTCGTCTCTTTAATAACTTGGAGCTGGTTGTTCCTCATAAGAGGTAAGAGCAAAAAAACAGAAGGCCAGAAGTGTGGCTGGGCTGCTGGGATTGCATTTGCGTCCAAATTTGTGAAGAAGCAGTTGTACCTCAGTGCTGTGACAGGGCTGGGCTAAGATATTTTGCAAGATGGCAGCGCCCCTCGAAACCTACCTGACTGGTAACTGACTCTTTAACACTAGTGAGGATGGGACAGTGTTCTCCTTGTGCCTGAAGAAAGGAGGCTACGTGCTATATTACACATTTCATATCTCCAGGCAACTCACTGTGGCTTTCCTCTGCACTTCAGCATCTACTAACTGAGGCATCCGCCTCCCTCTGCCTAATGGTAGAGCCAGCTTTGACTTTAAACGCTGGTACTTAAACTTTGCAATGTGTTTGGAGAATATGAGTGAGGCACAGCATTTGTTGGCATAGTGTGCTTCAAAATTATTTTAAATGGTGTAAAAGGGACCTGAAAAAGGAAGAGTAGGTTCTAGTTCAATGAAAATTTAGTTCTCTGCTGAATCTAGTTCTCCTTTCATGTTTTAGGCCTTTAAACAACAACAATACACAAGCAAAACTTTGTAGATCTCTCCCCATCAGTACCAACAAAACCTCCTCTCTAAAAAATGAATGCAAAAGCTGCATCACTTAGAATATACATTCAGGGTTGAGCTTGTGTCTTTGTTTTAAATTACTTTCTTGTGCTTTCTAGTCCTCCAACATCAGGATGCAATTTTTGATTAGATTAATTGGTAGATTAATTCACCAAGGTTTTTAAAATAGTTGATTCTGAGTCAAGTTTGAGTTATGGACTTCTCTCCCTTTCAGGTGTCATTTCTCCCTTTTAACAAAAAGTGGAGGCCAATTTCAAGGGTGTGGTTAAGTCTTAAAGGTACATTTGTTGATGTATTTATTTGTAAGGCTGTTTTGGCTCTGGTATGTTACCATAAGGAGGAATTATAATATTAACAATATAGTAACTTCTTCTTTTTTTAATTTTGAGCTACCCTGCGCTTCCTTCAATATTCTTTTTTTTTTTTAATGAAAGCCTGGTAATATGGACATAAATATAATTAGTTTATAATTAACAATGCAATCCTGTGCCTACTCAGAAGTAAGTCCTCATGAGATTCAATTAGATGTGCATAGGATTGTACACAACACTTACCTGACAGTAAGTTCCATTTAACTCTGTGAGGCTTATGTCTGAGTATACATGTACAGACTCACTCTGTAAATGAGCTATAAGGCAGGTGATTAATCGATTGAAAATTCTTTAATGGGTTGACAGCTCTATTTTGATAGGGTTCTCAAAATAGGTTTCTAGTGCCGCTTATGAAAACATGCTAGGCCAGAGATGGTTAGTGTCTGTCTTTTTACAGGCAACTTAATTTTCCATACAACCTGCACTGGACACATGTGTGCACACTAACAAATTTTACTCCTGAAACTGATACGCTTATGAATGACCAAGCCCCTTTAAAAGTGTTGTCAGGCCAGGACAGCATCCCTTTTCCACTGAGGTCAGGCACAGCATTGTAAATAGAGGCCTATATATACAGTGGTACCTCAGGTTACAGACACTTCCAGAAATAGTACCTCGGGTTAAGAACTTTGCTTCAGGATGAGAACAGAAATCTCACGGCAGCGGGAGGCCCCATTTGCTAAAGTGATACCTCAGGTTAAGAACAGACCTCCAGAAGGAATTATGTTCTTAACCCGAGGTACCACTGTACATATTACCGTACATACAAAATCTAAAGAAGAATTGTAACGTTAGAATGTTGAATGTCTGTTTTCTACAGCGTGGAAGGAAAGCTTTTGTTCTGAAAGTGAAAACTTGACTACAATTTGACAGAGGCATGACATGGACTAGTCTGCCAGTTACCCATCCCCGGCCTAATCTGAAGAGAAGGAAAAAAGAGACTATGTTGCTCATTGCTGTGTTCAATTTGTTCAAGTTATTTATTCATTTATTTTTATTTCTCATGATTTATATACCATTTGATGGTAATAAAACCTCAAAATGGTTTAAGAAAAGAACAAAACACTTAGAATTATAAGTCTAAAGCCATTAAAAACACCTATTTAAAATATTTTAAAAAGTAAAATCGGTAATAAACTAAAAAACCAGATTGAAACACATGTCTAGATAGGCTCGCCTGCCTGAACAAAAATGCTTTCAGCGGGCACCAAAAACAGTACATTGAAGGTGCCTTCCTGATGTCAATGCACAGGGAGTTCCAAAGATTAATTTCTTGCAAATGCAGAACTAGTATTATCTGGTACCTGTAATAGTGCCAGCTCCACAGATTGAAGTGATTAAGTGGGCATATATGAGGTAAAGCAACCTTGCAAGTAAACTGATCCCAAGGTTTTCTTTTTGAGCAGTGGGGGACTTTGGGCTTTCAAAATTATACAGTGCAAAAATTGTGCACCAACTAACCAACCTGCCACCTCTAAGTCACTGTTGTGGTGCCCTCTTGGCTCTGCTCCCAGTGCAGGTGAACCGGTGGCGCTCCCCTAAATCTGCCTCTGTTGTGAGGTTTATAACCTGCCCTTCATCCAAAGAGCTCAGTGTATCTTATGTGGCATGCAGATGTTTCAAGCAAGCATGAAAAGGACAGAGAGGGTTGGTATGTGAGTGGGCAGAGTTGGCCCAGGTCTAGAAGTCATCAAATCCTAGTTTGCATCTTTCAGACTTTTGTTTTTCTCACTTGGCATGAAAAATATCATAACGACTCTTATGGTGTTTGTGGGCACTGATTTATCCATGCAAGAGAGCCCTTTTAAAACCTGGATAAATGTGTGCTACTAGCCAATATGGATCTTACGAGAGCCCCATCCCCATTTCAGAGCTAGGAAATGCAAAGGGCAAACTGAATGTCATGTGTGAATACACCATCTGGCTTTGCAAGATGCAAACAGAACAGTGGTAAAAATTTAGCTCTCATCAGTTTTTCTGATGGTACAAAGAAGGGGATACAGATATTGTTAATAAAGGAAATTAGTGTGTTTGTGACAATTTTCTCTGTGCTCACTCTGTTACACACAGAGAGGGCGGGGGAGAAATTAACTTGATTTGTTCTAGAGTTCAAACTTTGCATCTGCTTTGAACAGAGATGGCTGAATCTGTCAATTTTGATTTCTCTGCATTTCTCATTTCCCTAGTCTTAATTTCAGTTTAGTTTCTGTTACAGATAGGTAGCCGTGTTGGTCTGCCATAGTCAAAACAAAAAAAATTCCTTCCAGTAGCACCTTAAAGACCAACTAAGTTAGTTCTTGGTATGAGCTTTCGTGTGCATGCACACTTCTTCAGATACACAGATACAGATGCACACGAAAGCTCATACCAAGAACTAACTTAGTTGGTCTTTAAGGTGCTACTGGAAGGAATTTTTTTTGTTTTAGTTTAGTTTCTGCAACAGTTTGCAACTTATTTTCTTTTTTAAGTGCGGTGCATTTTCATGCACATTTCTGTGCCTTCTTTCCCCTAATGTTCATGTGTTTTTTAAAAAAATATTTTGAGCAGAAAAAAATTGATCGTTGCTTTTCTGTTTGCAAACTGGTTTAGAAAGGGCGTGTTAGGCAGGTTCATGTGGAAATGGGAAACCAAACTAATTTGTCTCCTCGCCCTTGGTTTTCAATGTCTTAATCTATGGATGTAAAAAGGCAAGAATAAAGTGCCTTTTTTTAGAGCACTTTGCTCTAAAAAGTTAATCCATGCTGATTAACTACAGAGGCCACACATTTCAAGGTTTGGAGTGAAGGACTTCTCAGTGTTGATGTGCCCTTTTCCTAGAAATTAAGCAGAAAACACACACACACACACACACACACACACACACACTTTTATAATCTCTCACCTTTCCTCATTTCACCTCCAGGCTGTTCACTGTCAGGTCTGTGAATCCTCTTTATTAACCACCATTGTGGCTCCACAACTTCCTCCCCCCCCCCAAACCTCCTTTTATTTTCCACTTTCCTCTTTTCAGTATATCTGTGGATATCCTGGTAAGGTGATTAGGCATTTTCAACCAAGCTGGAAATCCCCAGGCACCAGCTCTGTAG